TGGGCAAATAAATATTTGAACCTAGGTCCTCTGAGACCAGTCCATCATTCTATCCACAGTACCATATTGAGTATTCCCACCGGCCTAGCATGCATCTAATATGACTTTTGGCAATAGGTAAAGGTAAAGGTTCCCCTTGACAAATGTCCGGTCGTGTCTGACTCTAGGGGGTGGTGCTCATCCCTGTTTCCAAACCATAGAGCCATTGTTTGTCCGAAGACAATTTCCATGGTATGTGGCCAGCGCGACTAGACATGGAACGCCATTATCTTCCCAATGTGGTGGTACCTATTTATCTACTCACATTTGCGTGCTTTTGAACTGCTAGGTTTCGAACTGCTAGCTCACTCCATTGTGTGGATTCGATCTTACGACTGCTAGTCTTACGACCTTGCAGCACAGAGACTTCTGCGGTTTAACCCGCATTGCCTAGACGCCCCTTTTGGCACTACTAAGTTGCAAATTGGAAGCTGCCTTTTAAAGTGTTTGTTTGAAACAAGTTTATCACTCCGCTTTCTCTACCCAGATGTATTCAAGGCATCTCACACTAAAACTGAAAACCATAAAATATTACAAACCACTTTGAAACCATATTCTTTACCCATCCTTTTCGAGAGTGATTTTCCTTTTCCTTTTTGATATTAACCATGGCTTCATATTTCATTGACTGTGACACCACTTATATTAGTTTTAAAAAGGATTGTTATGAAGCGAATTATTGGCCAAGCTTACAGGGCAACTTTAAGACAACCAGTTTTAGTTTGCATTACATGTGTAATTTAGGGTGTGTGTGCTTTTATAGGTTTGCTACCAAATATCCAGGGCTTTATTCACATTCAAAAGAAATATTCAGTGTATTTGCCTTTGATTAGTGCTCGTTTATACTTCTCATTAATTTGCTTTTGGACAGTGGAAAAGCAAAGAATTCTGGTATTTTTTTTTATTCCTTAGGGAAGCCCTGTGCCCAGAGATGCTGCAACGTAAAAGATGCTGCACCAGTGAGCAAAGGTTCTAAAGCCATCAATTCTCCTGGCTTACCTGTTGGTGACTTAAGGGTGAGCCTAAGGCAGGAGGTAGTAGTATATTAGATGCTAGCAAACACAGCTTTGCGTAGTGGGCTCACAGTAGGTAGCATGCAAGCCTGTGTCCATCTTGATCCTGCTTTAAAGCATTCAAAGATCCCACTTACTTGTGAGTGCTCCATTTAATTTCTTAATATATTCCTGTATGTAGCAGAGAAGAAATGAGTGCATACTTGCACTTAGTTTATCAGACTGGCAACAATCTGAGACCTAGTGTGATGTTGCAATGGACAGAGTGACAGGCTAAGACTCAGGAGATCTGTGTTTAAATTCATGGGGAAGGGCATGTGATGGACTGGTGAAGCTACTCCTTAAATATTCGAGATACCTTGAAAACCTCATAAAAATTGCCACAGTTCAGATGTGACTTGATGGCACATAATGCACAAAGGAATCCAGTATTAGATCTGCATGTTGGGAAATGATTTTCAGTGTTATATTCTGTTCCTGATTCCTGGTATGAACATTTATAAACACTCTGAAATATTCAATAGTTTAACCTTCACAAACACCTTATAACTTTGCATGCATTGTAAAGGAGAGGTTTGCAGTCGTTAACAATACAGTTAGTGTGCTGTAACACATATCATTACATGTGCAAGTGGAATTGCCAAGTTAGATATAATACCAATGAGTGCATAAAATTATCTCAGAGACCGTTTCTCCCATTATGAGCCTGCTCAGATGTTAAGATCATCAGGAGAAGCCTTTCTTTTGGTCCCACCATCTTCACAGGTGTGTCTGATAGGGACAACAGGAGCCGTCACTGTTACTGCTCCCAGACTTTGGAACTCCCTCCCATAGGAGACCAGACTGACCTGTCTTCTCTGTCTTTCCACAAGCATGAAAAAACCTTTCTCTCTCAGGCTTAATCTCAGTGGCTGGCTGCCTGAGTGGGATTTTTAAATGGATTGTTGTGCCTTACTGCTTTGAATGTGCTTTTAGTATTGCTTTTGCTTATCATTTCTCAGAGTGGTTTTGTTTGTTACTTTTTCATAGTTGCATACTTATTGTTTCTAGCTTCAAATATTGTTGTAGGTCCTTTTTAAGGAGAAAGATGTGGGATGGATGGATGGATGGATGGATGCATGGATGGATGGAGGGATGGATGGATGGATGGATGGATGGATGGATGGATGGATGGATGGATGGATGGATGGATGGATGGATAGTAGCAGCACACTTTTATTATTATTTTTAAATAGTTTAAATATAAGCTTTGGAAAATGCTATAAGAGAAACTGATCTCTTTCACTTAGTCTGCATTTAGTAAAACAAATGTTGTGGTCTAAATGTCAGTTTCTATAAATATTTGTGGGAGCTGAAATATTGCTGCAACTCTGCCATTTCCCCCCATATTCTTTGTTAACATTTAACATTTCAATAAATTATGTGGAGTGGATTCAAGCTTGTGGTCCTGTTGCCATTGCAGGTACACTTGATGGAGGCATCAAGGATCTGGGAGCTGCCACAGGGCCTTCTCTGCAGCAGCTTCCAGATTGTGGAATGCTCTCTCTTGGAAGATTAGGTTGACCTCCTCTCCTCTGTCTTTCTGCCAACAGCTATAAACAAACCCACCTTTTCAGACAGACTTTTAATACTTCTGCATGCTTGTATTTAGCTAAGTAAGTTTGATTTTAATGTTTTGAAATCATGTAATGTATTTTTTATTATTATAATACTGTAGTTCAATTGCTTTTTAATTGTAGATATCCTATAAATGACACTAAAGAAATAGACAAACAACTTTAATAGCATTGCCTTTTGTATCCAGCAATCTAATAGATTTTAATGATGCACATATAAGCAGTGTATTTGCAATCAATCTCAAGGCTAGATAAGATTCATGTTACATGTATATAATCCTCCAAATAACTTGGTTCCGACCAATTTAGGGCTTTAATGATAATCTGGAAATATGAGCAAAAAGTGTAGCCATTACAGAGTTGGTATTATATGGGTTAGCTGCCATAGGGTACCAGGCAGCTGAATTCTTTTCTCAGTAGGAGACAATGGCAAGAACATGAAAATGTGTTAGTTGTTGAATTTGCCCAAGACATGAATTCCTCTATGCCTGTTCCTGAATACAGTCTTAAACATCAGACAGCTGCAGAATGAAGATCCTAAAAGCAGAATCAATGTAATCTTACAGTAATCACACTGTTACTGGGGGGGGGGAGAATAAGCATTTTCGAGAGCACAATACAGTACTGGTTATGTGGAAATAACTAGTGTGTGAACAACTAGAGACAAGTCTGTCTTCTTCGTTTAGAGCTGGTCAAAGGCACTTCTGGCTTTGTTACCTGTACCTCTCTAAGTGCCTTTGTAAGGCGTAGGAGCTCCATATCAACATGAATGGAAGTCACACTAGGCTAAGTACAGTATTGAGGGGGCAGGCGGGGAGATCAGCATGGAAATAAAACATTGGGGTGGCAGGTGAGCACTGAGGATCAGTGTAATTCATGGGTTTCTATCCCTGTTTAAGCTGGATACATTTACTAGTTTAATAAGGCAAAACATGTTCCCTGCCGTTGAGTGGACCTCCTCGCTTAGTATTCCTCATTTCTTTTAGACATCTAGAGACCACATCTGCTTTTTTAAAAATCCCACCAAAGTAAACTTCCTTTTCACAGTTATTTAGTGTGGTTTGGAAAAGGATCCAGTTTTCCTAAGGAAGCTGTCTCAGGTATTATGTTTGGATGGCATCATCTGAACCATGCAGAAGTTTAAATGCTCTTTAGGAATATGCTGTGTAAACAATAAAAATCAGACTCTTCCTGAAATGAATATGGGCCTTCAGTCATATTGTTTCTGTCAATCTGTCTTTCATGACCACCCATATCCCTCTCCCTCCCTCCCTCTCCCCCCCCCTCTCTCACACACACACAAACATACACAGAGAGAGGTAGCTGTTAGTGGTGGCAAATTTACATATAGATGTGTGCAGGTTTCACATACTCATTTTTTCTTATTCACTCGTATGCTAGTGCGGGTAGAATTATAGGTCTATTCAGGTATTAAGCCTTGAAATATGTAGGGCTGAATGTGTGTTTCCATCCCTCACCATGATTATGACCCAACACACTTTCAAATTTAATGACTGAGTTGGACTGATACTGCCACCAAGGTGAAGTTATTTTGGCTCATGCTGGTGTGTTCTTCCCTGGACCTGTTCTTCCCTGTCTAAATTCTGTCACTACTGTTTATACTAAACAAAGTGAAAATGTTCCATTAATGTTTAATTATTTTGCGCACAATACTGTTATTACCCTATTTTTCAATTATTTTATTGAGGTATTGTCTATATTTACAACAACATAATGTCTCAGTCTTGCCTACTAGATATCCTTGTTGTCTTATGTTAGATTTAAATAATGCTAATATATGTAACGAATCTTCTGGTTAATATTATTCAAATATACATTGTATGTTTTAAGAAATCTTTCTACTTTCTACTTTGTAGAAGTTTTTATCCTTATCTTCAAAACTTGTTCTACCTGTCCTATTTAAAAAAATCATTATACATCACTGATAGTAGCAGATTGTAGCTAACTAGAGACTCTACTTTAATACTTTATTGCTTCCACTTGTCTAATTGCATGCACATTGAGTGCAACCCCAAATTGGGGGTGGATAGCTCTGTGCTCTTACCTACAACTAGACAATGGGAATTCTTTAGAACAGGAGGTTCACCTCTTGGTATAAACATTGGTAATAGTTAAAACGATATCTGTTTCAAAAGTTTCTTTGAACTCACTGAAACTTCAAATATGTTGTTTAATTTCCCCACTTTAAGTCCCTATCTACTCTAAGCATAAAATGCAGGAAATTGATTTGATGAGATAACAGAAAACTAACTGTGGTCAGGACATAGCATAAATACAATTAAAATATTTCTGATGTTATGATTTTCCACAGAAACACTTTGGCCCAAAGTTCGAGTTCCATTAAAAGTTGTACGGACTGCAGAAAACAAATTAAGCAACCGCTTCTTCCCCTATGATGAAATTGAAACAGAAGCAGTGTTGGCAATTGATGATGACATAATTATGCTGACCTCAGATGAGCTCCAGTTTGGTTATGAGGTAAGATGGCTCCTGATTCATGCATGATAAAAGTTGATGGAACAAAATGTTTCTGGGCACAAATGCTTTGTTCAAATGTTCATGTTCATGTCTCCCAAGCAATGCCTTGAAACAGAATTAAACTGTAGGAACGATTTATTTATTTATTTATTTATTTATTGTATTTATACCCTGCCTATCTAGTCATTTCGATCCTGAAACAGAATTAAACTGTAGGAACTAGCCTCTAAATGCTGTGAATCTTCAGAAAATACTGTCCTTCCTCTATGTTGCTGTATCACTATCACCTACAGTCATAAATGGAAGACTGATAAGTCTCCCTAAACAAGGTTAGCATATGGAAATTTATGTTTTGGAGGTTGAAAGATGGAATGTTTGAGTAGAAGCATCCTAGGAAGAAAGAGTAAAATGTTTCTATATTTTTTTGATACCTCATCAACATGCAGATGAGAATTTGAACGAGAATATTTGCTGGTAGGAATAAATAAAAAATTTAAAATGCCAAAGAGTCTTCTCTGGGAGCTTGTCTCCTGTAAGTTGTATTAAGGTGGGCTGCTAAGCTTAAAGGTGCCACAAACTGTTTTTTTCTCTTTGTTGTACATCTTTTCACTGAAAGTTCTCAATGGACCTTAACATAAGATAAAGACAAATCAAAAGTTCAATAACAACAGTAGGAAGAATAAACGCATGCAATATGATACAGAATAAAAGTTCAGTAATACTCAAGAGCAGAGAATGGTGCAACAGATTACATTTGTATCTGTATCATTTGCTAAACCAAAAAATTAATGGGAAAATAGAAAAACTTTTGTTGCTCAAAAGATAGCAAAGTAGGTGCTAAATTAGCCTTCTGGGGAAGGTGCACCACAGCTTTACTACCACCACTACAAGTGGTTCACTTGTAACTGCTTTTTTGTACCTTCCCTGAAACTTCTCATTTTGCCAGCTCAAGACAACTCCTTCCAGGACCATCTCCCTTCCCAGCCTGTAGAGATTTTTAAATAGCTTGCACATTGGCACTTGTTTGTCTGTCCAGAAGCTTCTCCTGGGTACCATGCTGTGTGAAACTCCTGGAAACTAACGAGTGTGGAAACTCCTGGAAACTGGTGGTCTGTCCTAGTCCTGGGGTCAGGCCTGAGGGGTGCCACTGTAGTTATGGACATGGAAATACCATGTTCGGCAGGTTTGGATCAGAAAATGTCCCGAATCTCAATCCTAGCTGGTATTTACAAGATGGCTAGGAAGGCGGTTTTCAGAGGAAATTCAAATATGGAAAAGAGATGGTCTGGATTCTAAATTAGAGAGGTAATGAGTAATTTAAAAAGTAAAGCAAAATGAGCATACTATTACTTGTGTGGTCAAAAGTGCTGTTGTCTTCAGACATTTTTTTCCAGAGGTTAGTTTGATTCAGTTGTATTTATATGACACAACTTTCTTAATTGACATGCTGACTTAAGAAAAATTAAATATATCTGGAGAAAAGAGATTCATAATACCAGATGTGGAAAGTCTGTCATGGGAATTAGCAGTTATGTGGAGAACCTATCTTATATTTTCTTCTTCTGAGGGAATATCCAGATGGGGAGCTGAAGTGCTGCCAGTCACAAATTGTAACAGAGAAAAAGGAGTGTGGCAGTTGGTAGAAGGGAATGAGACAGGGTGAATGTCCCGGAATGCCCCAGTTTGTACTAGTGATTCGTACATTTTTCTTCTGAGAAGCTACATAGTTCTGATGGTTTCTGTCACCTTATAATTCATGTAAAGAAGTTCTGTGTTTGTATGGATAAGCAATACTTATTCTTGGGTGTTTCTCAATTAAAATATAATCTGCCAAAATTATGTTAAAAAATTGAAATATTAGAATGCTGGAAGCATTCTTAAAAAGCTCTTTTTGAAATGAACATAAAAATAAAGGACTGCATATCTGTTGGAAGAGGAGGAGTTTAGCTTGGTACCAGAATGTGACTAATGTGGGATCAGGTGCATCTGTTTGAGAGGATATTACAACAATGGGATGCACAATTGAAAAGGCTCATTTTCGGGCAGCCACCAGACACAATTGCTTATAATCAAATATGCCTGAAAAAATGATATAAGCTACCCATGTCAAACCATGATGCATATCTGTTGGAAGAGGGGGAGTTTAGCTTGGTACCAGAATGTGACTAATGTGGGATCAGGTGCATCTGTTTGAGAGGACATTACAACAATGGGATGCACAATTGAAAAGGCTCATTTTCGGGCAGCCACCAGACACAATTGCTTATAATCAAATATGCCTGAAAAAATGATATAAGCTACCCATGTCAAACCATGATCCACATCAATGTTTTATACTACAACAACCATCATCCCAGCCCATTTGCAATGCCTGAAGGAACTAACAGAAGCCGATTACCAGCATATGCAGGGACCCAGGTTGGGTAGAGCTACTATTAGCTTCCTTTGAGAGGAATCTTTGAATGAGCAAAAATATCATCATATAGGAGTAACTTTCCAACAAGACATCCTCTGGATCAGCTTCTGAGCAGTCTGTTTATGCTCCTTGTCCAAACATTTGAACAAGCTTACCTGTAGCATCTTATATGATATGAAGTCTGAGGAAACAGTTATAGTTCTCTAGTTTATTTACTTGAGTAATTTTTATCCTTTCTGTGTTTCCAAATAAGCACTCCAGGCAGCGGACCTAGTAAAGCTTTTTATTTCTTTTTATATATAGATAAAGAAATAAAAAGCTTTACTATATCCTACCTTTCTGCAAGAAGTGGGAAGTAACATGGTTCAGAGATTGATTTTGAAAAGGTATAAATAAAGATATATATTTAAAAAGCACATTGTCATCTCAGAACACTATGAAATATGCTATGAAGTTATACTGTACAGGTGAATTAAAAACAGTTTTTAAAGCATGCTGATTAAAATAATAATTAAAAAGTACAGCACGTACCCATTAAAATCCCTGTGCTGAGCAGCTATTCACTGCTGAAGAACTACAGGAAAGAGGCTGTCAGTGGCTGCTTCCAAACTGCAGAACTCACTTTCAGGAGAACCTAGGCTGGCCCTTTGCATATTGTACTTCCTTTGGCAGGCTTCTTAGTTGCAATCAAACATTCATCTGAGGGCACTGGAGCAAGAGAAGGCCCTCCCTTCCATTTGAACAAGCTTACCTGTATCTATATTGATGATATGAAGTCTGAGGAAACAGTTATAGTTCTCTAGTTTATTTACTTGAGTAATTTTTATCCTTTCTGTGTTTCCAAATAAGCACTCCAGGCAGCGGACCTAGTAAAGCTTTTTATTTCTTTTTATATATAGATAAAGAAATAAAAAGCTTTACTATATCCTACCTTTCTGCAAGAAGTGGGAAGTAACATGGTTCAGAGATTGATTTTGAAAAGGTATAAATAAAGATATATATTTAAAAAGCACATTGTCATCTCAAAACACTATGAAATGTGCTATGAAGTTATACTGTACAGGTGAATTAAAAACAGTTTTTAAAGCATGCTGATTAAAATAATAATTAAAAAGTACAGCACGTACCCATTAAAATCCCTGTGCTGAGCAGCTATTCACTGCTGAAGAACTACAGGAAAGAGGCTGTCAGTGGCTGCTTCCAAACTGCAGAACTCACTTTCAGGAGAACCTAGGCTGGCCCTTTGCATATTGTACTTCCTTTGGCAGGCTTCTTAGTTGCAATCAAACATTCATCTGAGGGCACTGGAGCAAGAGAAGGCCCTCCCTTCAGATCTCAGAGCCCAGGCGGGGGGGGGCATAGAATATTTCAAGTCACCTGGACCTAAGATCTATTGGGTTTTATTCCTTATAAAGTAGTTGAATTGCACCAGGAAATAAATTGGACATCAGCAGAGCTGTTGCTACAGGAGAATTCTGTATCCCTGGTACTATCCCTGTTACTACCCAGTTTCCCCCAAAATAAGACCTAACCTGAAAATAAGCCCTAGTAGGATTTTTCATGATGCTCATAATATAAGCCCTACCCCAAAAAATAAACTCCAGTTGTGAAACCCCACCCTCTACCAGAAGATGATGACATGGCTGTATTTGAATAAATGTAGATTGCAGCACATGTAAAAAAAATCCCCTGAAAATAAGCCCTAATGTGTTTTTGGAGCAAAAATTAATATAAGACCCTGTCTTATTTTCGGGGGGGGGGGCACAGTAGCTCTGGTTAACAGACTGTTCATAGGGGAATGCCTGGTTTGAAACAAGAGGGGAAAAATTACTAAAATTCATGAAAAGCTTATATATGCATATGCTCCTTTAAGAAAAAATATGTTCTTACCATTGAGGATCATGTCAGTGAACCACTGCTTATATATCACTTTAGCTGATTGTCTAATTTTAAAGCTAAAGTGGAATTGCAACTAAAATGAGTATTGTCAAATAAGTACAGTATCTCATACATGTTGATATATTAATATGGCTCAGCTTTCTCAAGGATTCGGCAACTCAATCAGGGATCTTCAGCTCCCAACCCACACTTGAACTTCTGCATTCCTGATACCTATTTTGTCTGACTTGTGTTGGCCAGATGCTTGGATCATGGAACTGCCTGAATAGCAGCTTAGATTATCTTCGTGTGACTTTGATACAACTTGGATAGAGCTTCCTCTGTTTTGGGACAGACATCTGAGACGTGCAAACTCTGTTTTTTAAAAATCATCATTATCTTTGCCGTAATTATTTCAGAGCAGTGCCATACAATTAGGATTTTAATGTACTGTACCTAATAAAACATTCCTAAATGGAGGCAAGATCCTTCTAATTTGAATGACGATTAACAATATTTTGGTTTTGTTCTCCTTTAAAAAAAAAAGAATAGCTGATTCAAATAACAGCATGGCAGCTCTTTTTTGTTTGGCAACATTTCATCTGTAAGAGAACATCAAGGAAATGTGTATAAATGCAGCTCCTACTTTCAACCCACAAATCAGCAGCTGCAGATCAATCTTCCCTGGGCCAGAGTGTCTTTGACT